GTTACGGTGTGTGAAGCAGGCAGGACCCAAATGCAGATTAAAGTGAAAATTCCTTTATTTCAAGGCTAGGTGATAAACAAAGACAAAACAGAACACTCACCGACGAACTAGTCATGACACACGACAAACCGACACTGAACACAGGAAGAGACAAGACTAAATACAGGGAGGGGTAATCACAAGACGAGACACACCCGGGCAGGGGAGGAGAAACACAAGGGCCACAGGTGAAAACAATCAGACAACTAGACACACCAGGGAAACTAACGACGGGAGAAAAAACGCAGGGAAAAGGACCAGACAATATACCCAGAGGAAAACATGACAGGGAGAACAGCAAAACACCCAAACCAAGACATAGAAAACGTGACATAACACAATAATCGTAACAGTTTGTTTGCTTCGGGGGCGGGGTGACCGGGAAAGCCCTGTCCAAGAAACGCCTGGCAGGCTGGGGCAACGCAGGACTGTATTTATCAATCAGGCCTGATGAAATTAATCATCTAAATACAATTCAAGACTGCCTCAAGGACTTAAAAACGTGGATGACCTTAAACTTTTTGATGTTAAACACGACCAAAACTGAAGTTATTGTACTTGGCCCGAAGAATCTACGAAACAAATTATCTAAGGATATACTAACTATGGATGGCATTAATTTGGCCTCCAGTGAGACTGTAAGGAATCTTGGTGTTATATTTGATCAGGATTTATCCTTTAACGCCCACATAAAATCAATTTCAAGGACAGCCTACTTCCATCTACGTAACATTGCAAAAATCAGGCATATCTTGCCTCAAAACGATGCAGAGAAACTAGTCCATGCATGTGTTACTTCAAGGCTGGATTATTGTAACTCTTTATTATCAGGGTGTACCAAGAAGTCAGTCAAGTCGCTTCAGCTGATTTAAAATGCTGCAGCTCGTGTACTAACCAGAGTTAGGAAAAGGGACCACATTACTCCTGTTCTGGCTGCCTTACACTGGCTCCCTATAGAACACAGGATAGAATTTAAAATTATTCTTCTCGCCTACAAAGCCCTTAATGGGCAGGCGCCATCTTACCTCAAAGAACTCATTATACCCTACTGTCCTACTAGGGCATTGCGTTCCAAGAATGCAGGGTTGTTGGTTGTTCCTAGAGTCTCTAAAAGTACAATGGGAGCCAGAGCCTTTTCTTATCAAGCTCCACATTTGTGGAATCAGCTTCCAGTTTGTGTTCGGGCGGCAAACACCCTATCCGTTTTTTAAGAGTGCGCTTAAGACCTTCCTTTTTGATAAAGCTTATAGTTAGGGCTGATTAGATTCAGTCCCTAGTTTTGCTGATATAGGCTTAGTTTGTCGGGGGACATCTTACTTCTTCCTTCTCTCTGTCTATACCTGTGTACTCTCATGTTCCGATTAACCCAGCTTCCCCAAATGTCTTTCTTTTTGGTGTCTATATACGCTGGGATCCGGAGTCATGGATGATCCTGCGGTCCTGTGTCCTGCATCGCGAGCCCTGGATCTTGAATCGTGGCTGTGGTCCTGGATCATAGGTCCTGGATGGATATCCTCGTGGATTCATCTTCCTATTATACACACATGCATTTCCAAACATTTGGACTACCTATGTTGCAAATGTATTATCTTTTCAATTTACACACGGCATCTATTGCACATCTGTCTGTCTGTCCTGGGAGAGTGATCCCTCCTCTGTTGCTCTCCCTGAGGTTTCTCCCATTTTTCCCTTTAAAACTGTGGGTTTTCTTCGGAAGTTTTTCCTTGTACGATGTGAGGGTCTAAGGACAGAAGGTGTCGTATTGTCATACTGATATTCTGTACAAACTGTGAAGTCCACTGAGACAAATGTAACATTTGTGATATTGGGCTATATAAATAAACATTGATTGATTGATTGATTGACTGGTGAGGAGGGAGTGGGGCTGTGGGTCAGTGGGCATCTGACCCCGTCCCGGGCGTAATGCGCTTACGTTTTCCCGGGCCCCCGGTCCCGGGGGACGTGGCGTGCACTGGGCCCATAGAGTCTGGAGGACTCTTTCCCCCTGCTTTAGGGCAGGAGGGGCTCTTCACGAGGTGAGCGTGTCTGAGTGTGGGACATGGGGCACTTGCGCTCTCCCCGTGCTCCTTAGGGACTCGGGAGATGTGGTGCATAGTGAGCCCATACGGGGCTGAGGGCTCTCTCCGTTCGTCTATGGGCGGAGGGTGAGAGCCCTCAGCGCTGTTTTCCGAGCACACCTCTGCGGGGTAAGCGCGTCAGAGTGTGCTCTGTCAGCCGCAGCTCCAACTTTCTCCACGGTTACGACCGAGGAGGGGTGAGTGAAACGCAGCAGCTGCTAACCAGAAAGCCTGTCAGAGACAGTGAGATGGAACAGTGTTGTTGTGGGACGACAGCGCGTGTATACTGTACATCGAGCCTGTGAGAGATATAACGAAGGGTTACGTATGGTAACCCTTGTTATATAAACACAGGCGGAGCCCTCTACTCAGGGGTCCTGTCTGTCCTATGCTGCTTGCTGAAGAGAAGTGTAGGATGGCAGTCAGGAGGCGAGGCCTCCTTTTATGCGGTGAGATGCGCGCGCATTCAGGTAGGCCCGCCCCGGGACCGGCTACGTCTATAGAAGTCTCAGTGGATGAATGCTTGCATGATATGATCAAGGGGAGTACCCATAGAGTCCAGTAGAGCAGTGGTTCCAAACCTGGGGGTCGTGCCCCCCTTGGGGGGGCGCCAAAGATCGCAGTGGGGGCGCCAGGCCTCAGATGATTTGAGGCCAAATATCATATTTAGACTTTTTTTTTAATTACGTAACTATACGTTATGTAATAAATCCAAGTTTATATATTATCTAACCAGCTTTACTGTTCTACCATGATCAAAGAGGTTTTAAAAGTTGTTTACCAAAATGACACTTAATTTAAAGTTATAAGAGCAACAGCAACAGCAACTTTGCATAATTACCTGAAGTTGCACTGACGTTGTCATTACAGCCAAAAAAAACAAAAACATAACTTCTCACAGTCAGGAGGAACAACACACTTTATTTCTCTCACAATTACCGTAACACAACATTGTTAGAATATATTTAGTTCTATAAATACTTCTGTTTACTTTGGTGTTACACTAAGCATGTCTATGCTTGTCATACAGTATCATTTAATTTTTTTGACAAACTATTTTTCATCATTTCTTAAATCTGAATTATTATATACTTACATTGTTATCATTTACAATCTGCTTTGGCTATTCAGTATATTATTAAACAAATTAGGCACATTTTTGTTTGAAATAATGTAATTTTGATCAAATGGGATACTGGACAATCTACTCTATAAAGTATATTATTATAGTATAATATATCATATTATTTGACGTACTTCTATGAGACTCAGTTCAGGTGCTACCCACAGCTCTCCCTCATGTGTTTGCAGCCTTTGTAATGGATGCAGGTTTTGTATCCAGGCAACCACCTGACTGACCTATAGGAACCCTCTGCACTCAGTACACTCTCTGACCTGCACACGTTCAGCTAATGCTATAGTAGCCTGCAGATTATGTATGAATAAAGGCATGAATGCAGTAAGTAATCAACCATAGGCTAATTAGTTGTTGTCTCTAAAAAGCTAAAGTATAACCTAATAATACAAATAATTGAAGCGATAAGTGGTCACATCATATTGAAAATGATCATAATGAACTTTTCTTTTTCTTATCGCTTTTCCCATGACACTGGGCAGGTTAACATTTGATTTAAAATCCAAACAAAACATGTGATGTTCATAATATCCAGCAGGTGGCAGAAGTGAGCTTCGGAACATGTGTCAGCAAGCAGCTTACTGGTCTGCATTTGAATAAAGTGATCAGACGCAAGTGGGCTTCCTATACTTACCCTCTCTCATGTCAGGATTTCTCACAGGTCCAGTTTACACATTTACAACATTACATTTGAATGTTTAGCTCAGGTAGGCTACCGTTAAGGCTTCCACAAATCACATTTCGAATGGCCTCCTTTAAATTAAACCAAATGTACCAAAGTATATTCCTTATTTGGTAACCATTTTAGCACCTCATCATGATACAACAATTTCATTATACAGTTTCATTGCGGCAAGAAAATCAACTTGTATCCTCAATGCTACTGTTTGAGAATTGTACACTGCCTTTAAGTGTTACTATAGGTGAGATAAGATTATTAGTTTTCAAACACTTTGCAGACAGGAATGTTGCATTCATGTGCTACTGTTCAAAACAAACCTCCCTACACAAGAAACAATTGTGAGGTCTTAAATGTCAGAGGTTTCCATATGCACATATATCTTGTTTACAACTGCAATCCTTTAATGAAGGGTTTTCAAATATATGGGCTTGGAAGAAGAGTTAAAGTGTTATGCAGTGTACATTTAACATCCTTTTTTGATGCTTGGACGTTAGTGTACACTCTGTACCATTTTGTTTGTTTACCTTGTCTACCAATCTATTGTGAAACTACTTACTATTGTACAAAAACTGTAGGAAACGTGACTGACTGCTTGTAAGATATTGATACATCTTTACATAGCACACTATAAAATACTACTCTGCAGAAGGGATGAAAGCTCCAATGGTTTGTTAGTTAAAGCTATTGCAGTAACATAAATATTGTGTACTAAAGTATAGTTTGGGGTTTCTTAAATGCATGGGTTTCTATGCAAAATAAAGGACTGAAAAGGCCCGCGAAAAACGTTTTCTCCTGGGCCACACGTTGACTCATTCAGAGCCTCACTCAATGTGTTGGTAAATGCAAGAGTTTGTTACATTTAAAAAATTATATATTTATATTTGTCCCGGACTCACATGTTTACTTACCTCGAAGCAGTGGACAGTATGTCTTTTGACAGTTCAAGGATTCCCTTACACTGTATACGATCCAGTTGCTACACACAACACTCCTGCTGAATCCACGTGAGAATCTGGAGAGCCACTCTTCTGCTCGGGGATTCAATTAACTGGGTTGATTTACCACATTTAAAAAATAGCATTTATTTTGTAGTGACATAAAAATCTTTTGTACTTCTACAGGTTGAGTTAAAATTATTTATAAAACTTTATTTTTCCTCTTTTCAACTCATGAGCTGTTCATCTTGGAAAAACCTCCAAGTGAGAACCCAAACCACGAACATGGTACACATACATTAAACAGCACACAGCGCCATCTACATAATCGAAACAAAACAGAGTCTACAGTGGAACAAAGCTTTAGGAATAATGGTGATGATATATCACAAGACTGCCCATGTAGCTTGAGATTTAAAATACAAGAAAAGAAAGCAAGATACAAAAAAACCTTGAGGAAGAAATAAAAATAGAGACCAGGAAATACTTTTAATACTGTAATGTCTGTCAGACAAACACAAAAGTACATCATACATTTTTCTCTGATTTCCAGTTGCTCTGTGTCCTATTTTTTTTCAACCTCTGGTAAAAGGAGACTTGAAACTTCTGCTCAGACTGAGGAGGTATTTGTATGTACGTATATCCTCAACAGGGCCATGCAAAGGGGTTACATTCAATAGGGGGAGTGCCAAATAAACCATAATAAAATAGAATTATGATAGACAAAATAAATTCATACTTTCTGTATATATTGATCTTTTTCTTTTTGGCTTATAGATCAGCTAAGCAAAGCGATTAATTCCTGAGGTGTAAGGCTGTGGACACATTTCCAATTCAACATTGTGTATGTCAGCAGGGGGAAGGGTAATAGTCTCATTCTTTGCTATATGTTATATTTTATGTGTAGCAGAAAGGGAACCTGCTGTGAAATTCAACTTGAGCAGTAACAAACGGCAGACATAGTTTGTTTTTCGTGAATGAGGTGCTGGTGAGTCTGTGCAAAGCTTTAAAAGCTTGCACCTATCTATCAACTGAGTGCCGTGCAACATCAGCCCACATCTGTTCTGCGTAGCATAGGGACAGATAGGCAGAAAAATATAGAATACTCAGGAACACAGACCCGACATGTGACACTTCATGCCGCCAGACTTCATTATAGGTGAGGGGGTTTCAAGCATAAAAAAAGCCAACAGAGTTTCCCGTTGGGCAGCAAGGAGATCTTCTTCACAAAGCAAATCACAAGAATAAAACCCAATGGCCGTACCTACTGGTGTGAATATGATGCAGAGAAAACACAGAAGCAATCGTATACGACGACTGTCAGTAGGATAATGCGAGGTAGCATTGATGAGGGAAACAGAGGGACCCCCCCGTGTCTGGGCTTCAGCTGGTGAACAAATCAGATAAATATTTCATAGGCTTGCACGTGTGTACTGTGTGTTGATGTGTGTGCTGTCAGTTGCAGGAAGCAAAGAGTCACTCTGCCTCTAGGTTAGTGTATACAGTATGCATTCGAGAAAAAAACGGACTCTGCAGAGCAACGACTTCGATTACGTTGTTTAGAGCAAAAAGCTAAACTCTTCATTTAAGTTTCTTTTTTTTGTCAAAGGGGCAAGTTCAATATCACTATCAAAATACTAATAACCCATTTACAAAGCAAAAAATATAAAGACATTTAACTGTTAAACTGTCTTCATACAGTAGCGTATTTTTTAAATCAGATCAAAATCAATTGGAAATGCATGCACAATGTGAATGAACATTTTCTTTTCTTTATCACAACACTGTAACATTGTAGGCTTCATACCTAGTCTGTTTTACAAACACTTATGGACACAAATAAAAACTAAGAGAGGTCACTGACATGCATGCTCTCATGCTGAACAGAAGAGAAACAAAATCACAACCATTATTAACATTTCACATAACAGCTATCTGAAAAAAAAGATAAATGAATGGAATTCAAACCATGAGAAATGTCAATGTGAGGGGCAAGTTGGGAGGCGGGGTCTGTTTTTGATGTCGAGGGTTAAAAGGTCAAGGGTCAGGACTGCTGGCCGCCCCACTGGCTGTCTACAGGCCGCCGAAGGAGCTCCTCTACGTGCCTCGCCACGTCCATGGTGTCGTCCAGGTCGAAGTCTCCGTCCGTATCCAACATAGAGTCGCTCCTGCCACAGGACACAGAGCGGAGCCAAACCACACTCAGACAAGCTGGCAGCACATCACTAAGAAAAATCCCAGTTGGAGCAACAAGACACTCTTTACTCGTACAAAATGCACAGTCACACACACCCTCACTCATTCCGCTCCTCATATGTTTAAAGGACTTGTTGACTCACATTGGGGGGTATATGCCGTAGGTGTGAGGGTGATTGACAGGTGCTGGGGAGGCGCCGTGATCCATATAGGTTGGATTCCCACTTGATGGGTCTGGATTGGCTGTCGTAAACCTGTATACAAACATGCAAACACACACACACACACACACACACACACACACACACACACACACACACACACACACACACACACACACACACACACACACACACACACACACACACACACACACACACACACACACACACACACACACACACACACACACACACACACACACACACACACACACACACACACACACACACACACACACACACACACACACACACACACACACACACACACACACACACACACACACACACACACAAAACCAAGATAAAAGCCTATGAGTCTATGTTCAGCAGTTGCCTAAGCAACTACCCTCAGCGTGTTTTCCAGGCCTCGCTGCATCATTATGGCCATTCACTGTTCTGCGGGTGCACCAAGCATGGAGACAGGCAGGGAGTGGGGCTTTCTAACTAACAAGCCTAACTCTAATGATGAGTGGAAGACAAGCTTGCTCAGGAACCCTGGCCGTCCTTAATTGGCCTCCTCCAACTGTAACAGCTAACTAATAGCTGATCTGAATTCAGGATCCAATATTTGGTGATTAACTCTAAATGTTGCCACAGAGTTAAAACTGCAGGGTGGTGGTCAGAGAATAAAGAAAGGAGCAGGAAGGGAAGAACAGGAGGACAAACAGGAAGCGTAATACTTACTCGGGCACCACTTGCTTGATCTGCGGTTTCACGTAGCCATCCACGGCTTTGGCTTTAAAACAAACACAGGGAGAGAGAGAATGACAGCTGAGTGCCGACGTCACACTGCAATCAATACATCCGCTCACAACAAAGCATCTGAGGCTGTGGTATTTCATTTTGAATGTAACAGCAGCCTGAACAAACATAAGGTTGCTTACAGAGTGGTGGGGTGTAATATTTGGAGAAAACCTCATCCTTGTGTCTGTCGGGGTAGAGGAACAGGAGGTGATTGAGATCACTGATGCGGTCAGACAGGGAGCGAATGGAGAAGTCTTTGGTTGTGTACGGCATGAGGTTCCAAACCATTCTTTCACCTGGAGAAACACAGCATCCACAACCAAGTTTCAGCAATGTAAGGGACATAGGGAGTCTGTCTCCAAGCATGCGTTTTGATGTTGTAGAGCAGGGGTCTCCAACCTTTCTTCATCTGAGAGCTACTTTGAAAAAATGAAAGTGGCCAAGAGCTACTTGCATCACATCGCTTACATTTATTCACATAGCACTCATCAGTTGAATTAAGCTATACTTTTGTACACGTGTGAAATTGCAATACCTAAAGCTTATCACAAATCTTAACTTCAAATCAAGGTCCAAGAAAACGAAAATTTCTCACATATTATTATGGCCCACATAGTGAGTACATCACTGAGAATTCACATAAATGTCCTTAATCACCACCTGACAAGCTATGGCACTTATGGTAAAATAAGTGCATTCACTCTTTTTTACAGTTAGTGAGATGAATGGCGCTGCATGGAGTCCACCATAGGTGTATGCTGAAGTGTACCTACCTAGGTTCACTCTAATAGTCATTTAAATGTTCAGTCAGTCTTGTTCTGTATTTAGATTTCATGACATTCATGTCAGAAAAAGCTGCTTCAAAAAGGTCTGGAGAACAGAACCAAATAAAGCAGACATGTTCAGTGCTGCTTGGTGAATGTTCTGAGTTTTGCTGAGACTTAAGCTGAACATGATTTTGGAGATGTATAACCTCCATCTCCATCTCCACAGGATTGACACTGAACAGTTCAGCTAGCTTTTTCTTCTTCGTCTTGACAAATTATAAACCATAATAAATCAATTGTATAGGTCTAACCTCCCTATATCTGTGTGTGAAATTGCTCCATCCTCAAAAACAAAAAACTAATACTTCTGCAGTCTAGCTGCAGCTTCTAGCAACGGTCTTCTGTTAAAAAAGGCAGTCTTTACAACAGCATTATAAAATCAAAAATAACAACGCTACAACGTTGTATAACGATTATAACCCCCCGTAACAACGCTATAATCGATAATCGAGCGGCGAGCTACTGAAAAGCTGCCCGCGAACTACCGGTAGCTCGCGATCGACGTGTTGGAGAGCCCTGTTGTAGAGAAAGAAGCTGAGAGACCAATTTTAGAGAATGTTGTTTAGATTTAAAGCCTGTCCTTTGCCTTTTGCACGAGCAGGAACATTAAGTCATTAAGTTGTGTATGGTTAGTCGGTACATCCATAGCTGTGATTAAATCCCCTATACTTAATATCAAAACATTTAAAGGGGCCCTATTACTGTTACTGTTACTATTCAGGGTTTTCTCTTTGCTGTAGTGTGTTCCAAAGTTTCTCTCACACACCCTCCCCCCTGACTGGAATGCTTCAATTGGCCTCCTTGTTAACTTCTGTAACTAAATGACATCACTACATAACACTTGCGCTTCTATTGGCTAACACTTCAACACTTTGTAAGTGAAAGGCTAAGTGGTGGGACATCCACTGGCCAGCCAGCTAACCAATAAGATCAGACTGGGCTCGGGTTTCAGTCAGAGGTACTGCAGCTCAGGCAGTATGAGAAAAAAAAGAAGACCTTTTTGAACATTGAAACATGGAAATAAACGGTAGTGTGTCACAGTTGAGGTACAACATACAATAATGAAACCTGAACATTAGCATAATAGGGCCCCTTAAACCAGCACATCCCACGAGGGACAATAACACACATGTACATGTCTTACCTGCTTTGTTAGGATTTTCTGCCACCCAGGCAATTGTAATTCCTCCAATCTCAGAATCACTAAATCGCAGAAGGAAAGTACCGTTGGGTTTGGACATCAGCATGTCCTGAGCCTGCTGCTTGTTCACAAAGCCCAAAATGGCTCTAAAAAAGAGAGGGATATAAAGAAGAAAGAAAGACATTAAAATGTTCATGTGCATTCCCTCGCCACCTCTCTTATGTATTGCAATCTTAGGTTACAAGGGCAAGTAGGTCTTGCTCCCCAGTTTGCCTTGGAAAATGATGACAGTGAAACATTGCCTGAGTTGTTAAGATTGATGTGGTTGGAGACATTTACTTGAACAGGACATGCAGTCCTGCTGTGAATCTGAAAAAAATGCTGGTGCTTATATGTTTGTGTTCTGCTGTGCTTTACAGCCTAACATTAAAACCAAAAAATAAAACTGCAGTTTTTCCTACCCGTCATTCCAGTGTGGTTTGAGATGCTTTTTTGTGAGTTCCATCACTCCATCGAACCACTGCCAAAAAGTGAAGTTCCTCCCTGGCAAGCTTTCCTGTAGGAAATGTATTTTTAAAAACACACAGGATATGTACATATATTATAAGCTTTCCTGTTCCCGAGTGTCCATCCAGTCCATAAGTACAGAGAACAGCATGTCCTTATCCCAGTTGTTTATGATTTACCAAGAATGCAGCTGCTTGTGTATATGTTGTATGTGCGGGTATTGTGAGTGTGTATGTGTGCAGTTCCTACACCAGTCTGTGAAGCGGATGAAACTTGATGTTCCTGTAATCTAATGAGACTGGTGGTGTGTGGAGAACCTAAGTGTGCTTTCTGCCATCGCAAGCTGCTGTGATCCAGAGAATGAGGCCTCCAGCCTTTCACTGTGTGGACAAACAGGCCCATTAAGATGAAGACCTGGCCCTCAATGGGCCGTTCTCACTCAAGCTGACTACAGAACAGAGCTGTAAGGGCACAGCAAATGGAGCATGACATATTTCTGTGTGAATAGCCAATAGCAAATCACCCCATGGAGAACAAGCATGCGGCTGAAATCGGCGTACTGAAAGTGGCCTTCAGGCGTTTGAACAATGCAAGGAGGAAAAAACCCTCCCAGAAAGAAATCCATAAAGTTTAACTGATGATGACAGACGATAATTCTGCTTTATATAAGGGGAGAGGAAGAGGCTGGCACTGACCCTGTTAAACTGTGACCATGTCATAGTCATGTTGCGGTAGTCGTCAGGGTTGTTGCTGGAGCTGCTGAAGGCCTTCTGAGCGAGGAAGACCAGGTTCTCCTCAGACAGGCCTCGGTTACTCTGCACCTCAGCCTTGTACTTCATGTTGATGGCATCACACAGCTGAGGCCAGATCACTTTATCCGGCACGAGGAAAGGCACCCGTCCCTGTGGCACAGAGAAGACAGCAGAGGATTTACACCAGCTTTATCGACAGCAGAATGCAAAAAATAGTCATAGATACATCATGTGCATATGTGAGCTCACAATGCATTACAATCAACCAGTTACCATGTGGATAGACAAATATCTAGTACACAGAAATAAATGTGCTCTGTAGCTTGTTCATAAATAAAGTTATTCATATAAAGGGCAGCAACTGTTTAATGTTATAAAATGTCAGAAAACAACAACAAATAGTTTGGAAACATTTGATTTGACCAACGTAATGGAAAGTTAGAAAACTCGAAAACACAACGTGACACACGAGAGCTCGACTTAATTGCCAACATCAAGAATTTAGGGAAAGTTATGACTGGAGAATTGCTGCAAGACATTTGCTGCAGACACAAAGTGACACAGCTCCTGGCTAAACAATACTCAAGATCTCTCCTCCAAGTCCCACGTCTTTAGCTACAATAGCTCTGAGAGAATCATCAACATTCTACATGAAGAGACACAACAAACCAATAACTATAACACCTCTATCGGCTGACGCCAACAGGCAGGAGTAAGGAGGCATAACCCAATATATAGAGAGAGCGCGCAGACCCCCAAGGTCGCAGGCCTGTGTGTGCTTGACTGGTCAAATCAATGCTGAACATGTGATAAACAAAGGTACATTTGGTACATAAAACAGCCAGGTTTAGTTGTTTTTGAAATATTTAAGAAACAAAATATAAAAAACTAATACAAAAGGTCTGAATGAAATTATGATCACACTCAAAAAAACCTTTACTCACAGTTTCTGCAAAAGCGTTGTCCCACAGAACGGTTGCTGTGGCGTTATTGTCTTGGCTACCGTGAACAATCACCACTACAGGAAGTGATAACGTCTGCAAAGAGAAAAAGGGGAGACCAGTTCAGCGGAAGAATGCTGTGACAACTAATACTTTTTTATAAGTTAAATAAACAAATTCCTACTCTGGAATCTTTCAATTCAACATATGCGTTGTGATTACTGCTACTGAAAAGCAACTAAACATTTAAGATTCATCAATATGCTTTTGTAAGAATGAAGAGGAAACCAGTTTTATTCTATCGTCCACATGCTGCAAACTTGTGGATCCATTATCCAGATTGGCAAATCAATATGTATTTTAAAGCTGCTTTAATCAATCATGCCAGATAATTATTACAATTATTCGTTTTTTTAAATATGTAAATTCAATGCCAGATAAAGAAATATCCATTACAAAAAAGCACAACAAAACAAGTGATAGGGAAACATTGCTCTCATATAGACAGCTATATAATCCCCAAAATACAGGAGGCTCAATTTATTTAAATTTCTATCAACATTTTTGAATGTACAGATGATGTTGACCTAATTATTTGAAATACTGGAGAAATCCTATTTAGTTTATTTTGTCTTTTGTCACCTTTGTTTGTTTGTTACACAGTGTTGTCATACGTTTTCATGTTTGTTATGTTTATTATTTTGCCAGTTACATAAAAAAAGCAATACATATGGCATAAGATATCATATCAGATATCAGTCAGATGAGGAAAATGAGTATGATTGGCCAGCTGATGTGATGCACTGTACTTCACAGTATGTGTGGGAGTGGCTGTGTAAGGTTTTGTGACTTGTAGCTTTTAATAATTAAACAGATAACCCCTCTTGCAGGAGTAAGAATGCAGAGTATCTTTGTGCGTCCAGGCTTCTTACTGTACCTTTACTTGAAAAACGAGCTCGTTGCCTCCGACGCTGAACTGAGACTCGAACAGGATGGTGAACTTCTCCTCCGTGACAGATTCTGCTCCCCGTCTGTCCGATCGCTTGATCCTCTTCAGGGACTACATGAAAGATGACATGAGTAAAACCGAGCAACACTGGATTATAGTACAGTTAGGCTGACAATGTACACATTATATGTACAGCACATGCATGCATGAGTCAGACCTGACATGTAAATAATTCATGGAGTTCTTTTGGGACGTGATGGGACTGATCCTGCAAAGCATTGCTGATTTGCCATCAGTTTATGTGGGATATACTGTACAGAAATTCTCACACTGGATGATGAAGTGCAGCTCAACACTGCTACCAAATCCTACAAAATGTTATTGAAATAATAAATATAGAGCTACAACTGTAAGATAAGTCAATGAATTGTTAAATCGATTGAAAGAAAGATAATTGCCCACTATATTGATATTCAGTTAATCATTAAAGTAATTGTTCCCCTTAAAAAAATGGCAGAAATTGCTGTTAGCTCTCAAATATGTAGATGTCCTGCCTTTCTGTTTTATATCATATTAAACAGAATATTTCCTATCATCTAGGACTTGAGAAAATGGAATTGAAATGTAACAATATTTTCTTATATTTTCTTAGACCAAATGAACAATCAATTGATCTAGAAGAAAAATCGGAAATGTAAGTCTATAAGTCTAGGCTATAGGACCTACATAATGTGCAAGTGAAACTATTTCCCTTAAAAGGAAACGTATCTGACATATATAGGCACATCTTCCATAGATTTCCATACTTCTGGTGAGCTAATAACTCAATGAGCTGTATGCAAAGGTAGACTACACTAACACTGAACCATGGACCCTGATTTTCTCATTTACTTCTCCTCAGGAACACTCACCATGTTTCTGAAGTGGGCGCTGAGAGTGCCGGTAGTCTGATGATACTCCATCACACAGTTATTGTTAAGAATTTCTCCGCTGCTGTCACTGAAGGAGAGACACAATCAACAAGTGAGTCAATTACCTGTAAATCTGCACTGAAGCACTCGAGTGCTGAGGATTATATTTCTCCCAGAACAAATGAAATAAGAAAATGACGTCAGGAGCTGAGTGACACACAACAGGGGGTAGAAATGATGTTCATGCTCGTATGACTAGAAGGGTTAACTGACACTATGTTCTCTAGACGAGCAAACACCAGGCAGATGTCTGCAGATTGGGAGAGTGTGAGCAACAGCAGCAGATGAAGGCCGAGCTGATGAATTGCTCAACCATATAACCACTGGCTGCCTGGCTGACCTAGAGTCTCGGGAGGTTTTTGTATTTGTCAGGAGGAATGTGGAACGAGGCCGTGGAATAGGCTAAATGTGGATTCTGCATCCACACCATAGATTCCTCTGAGGCATTGTTCAAGTTCCAGCCATGTCTGTGTGGTGAGGTCTGGGAACACACTAGGCTACAGTTCATCCATTATCAACTAATCCATGAACAAAACTATGAATCGTTATCTCAATGGCGCCAATGGAGCTTGTCGCCAGGAAATAAGGTAGGTATAATTAAAAGGTTGTGTACAAAGCAGGAAACAGCTGGATGTGTTGTTGCTACAGCATTTGTGTGTGTAACTTTTCTATATAAATTCAAAATGAACCCTTCGCTAAAGTTCCCAGAAAAAAAACACTAAACCATTTTTTTCTTGTTGACAATTTTGCTTTTCATTTGACAGAGGACAGTGAAGAAATGGGGGAGAGAAAGAAATACACAAACAACATCAACACGGTCTCTCACCTACATGAAAACACACCAAGGGTTCATTATTTTATTTTGATTATATGAGTTTTACCTTTTCCTAAACTTATTTTTACTGACTGTAACACTTTGGCAATGTTGACATGGTCACGTTTAAGCCTACAAAACATTTTGATTTGAGGGGTGTGACCTCCAATATGGTCACATTTCTATCGGTTTGCACTGTTTCTCTGTTTTAAAATCCACACATGAACAGGGCAATGCACTTACTTCCTTGTGTTCTCGTTCTTCAGCAGGGCCTTGGCCTGCTGTTCACTGACGATGGTGGCTTTCACCTGCGGAGGGTTCATGTGCACGTTCAATTTGCCTCCTACTAGAAGGCGCACTGTAGCGGCAAACTTGGTTTGGGTTTTCAGCACCTGGGGAGGCTGTTTCTCAATGATGAAGGTGCTGTGGAGACACAAAGGGAGACAGACTGAGTGACGGAACTAAGCCCTGATCATTAGCTGGCTTTTTGTTGTATTTCATCAGAAATAGCATGCAATAATTCATATGTACATGCCATGATTGCTTATGCGGGTATTTTTGTTGTAGCTAGTTACAATGTATCATACATTTCCAATGGAATGTGTCTAAATTAGAGAATGATACATTACAAAATGTTTAAACTTTCAAAAGACTGCACAAATGTTCTGCATGTTCACTGTACACATACAGTGCAGTGTTTGGTGTACATGCTAATTTCAAACTTACTGTCTCCTCAAGCCTCCTTTCACATGTACTGACCTTCAGATTTGATAGCATTAGCCTTTAAAAACAACTATAAAGTAGTGAAGGAAATGGAAGTAAGGTGGTATTTGTCTGTCTAGGTGACTTCTGATGTACACAAACAGAGCAAGAGGAGAGACAATAGCAGACAGCCTAATGATCACGCCTGCAGGCTCAGAGGCCACTCCGAAACACACACACACACACACACACACACACACACACACACACACACACACACACACACACACACACACACACACACACACACACACACACACACACACACACACACACACACACACACACACACACACACACACACACACACACACACACAACACACACACACACACACACACACACTCACACACACACACACACACACACACACACACACACACACACACACACACACACACACACACACACACACTGATGTAATGAGCCTTCAAGCCCTCTGATCTGCGGCTGACCTAAGTGATGAACACAAAACTCTCCCATTCTCAGCCTGAAACCTCCGGGGGCTTCAGGGGGAATATAAAGAGGATGTTGTTGAGGACACATAACCTGTGTTTGTACTGTGCGAGTTAGCAGTGCATTACTGCGTGGCGGCAAGCTTGTCTGTGACCAATCAGGAATTGCTGTGACAGAAACATGTCTTCTCAATGTTCCCGGCTGGAACCATCTTGAAGAAAAGTAGAAGAGGACACTGGGTGCATACTGAGTCAAAAAGGATATCAATCTCGCTGTTGACCACAAACACAAATAAGGTTGTGTAAGTAGGACTTTCCTGCATAAAGACCCACTGAATGCAGGGAATGACAATGCCTCACGCATTGTTCATAAAACACCTACCCGCACACATGCTGGGGCTGATAAACTTGTATTGACAATATTCAGCCTTGAAAGGTGTTATAAACCCCAACACACACACACCTGGTGACCAATGCTGAGATGATATCTGTGATAGTACTGTTGAGGTCGTTGAGGAGCTCTTCAATGGGGCCGGGGATGGGCAGCTGTTGTCTGAGATGCTCTGCCCTCCGAATCTGCTGCCTGTTTTGCCAGATTGTTTCTGCCAGTTTCTCACACCTGACACACAAAAAATAAGATTATCAGCCGAATAATATTATCAGACATAATATGTTTCCTCACTATTTATAGACAATGGAACCAACTCCAGCAGCTGATTAGGAAATATTAAATAAAGTATAGTTTTAAATGACTGAAATCTTTGCCGGGATAGTTTTTTTAACTGAAAATAAGAGAGTAAAAGCCTTAAATAAAAAAAGGGCCTGGACTGCCTATGTTTGCGTTAAAAGGAGTCAATAAATTATGGTAATAAACTCAACGGTAGTCAATTTAGAGCACCTTAACCAGTGACCCTGTGCTGTGTGGGGTAGTCCCGTAGCTGTGATGTTGATGGGAGGTGGACCAGAACTCACCAGGACTGCAGGATGTCCAGGCCTCCCTCCGGTGGGCCCCCGTTGCCCGCCAGCTGTTGCCGTCTCTTCCACTGGATGAGCTCGTCATCCAGAATGATGGTCTGCTGCTTCCTCAGCAGCTGCAGTGTTTTCTGGTGCTTCTCTGCAAGGTCCTGCACATAAAAACAAACATGGATGCTGACTCCAATCACACATTTGCACTCTTGCGCACACATACAGTATATTTTCTTAAAAGTTCCCCTATTATATTGTTTTTCATCAATATATTATAGGTCGCAGACAAAACATGTCTCTGAAGTGTTTGGCTCGAAATACCAAACATACCATTGTAGCATGCAGTGTTGTAGCCAAGTCACCAATTCACGAGTCCAAGTCACTCTCGAGTCCCCACTATTCGAGTCCGAGTCACCTAGGGAGAGTCGGAGTCGAGTCCGAGTCCAAGTCCGAGTCCAAGTCCGAGTCACCCAAGGAGTGTCCGAGTCGAGTCCGAGTCATCATTACATGTGTTCGAGTCCGAGTCCAAGTCTGAGTCACCCAAGAAGAGTCCAAGTCCGAGTCACAAGTCTTCATGTATTAATCTTTGGGGATATATGTGCTGTTCCTCTACATTGCTTTTATCCTGTCATGTTAAAAAAAAAAAAATCTGATTCTGATGTAAATTAAAGTGGACCTATTATGCTATATTGGAAAAATATATTGTAGGGCCATACCTATACAAAACATGTCTGAAGTTTTTTGCTTAAAATACTAAACAGTTCACCCATTGTAGCCATGCCTCATGTTGCTAATACCCCTCTTTTGCAGCCCTGTTAGAGAAACGCGGATTTTGGGTCCTTAGTTTGAAAAATAATAAAAGAGGAGGCGGAGCTAATGCCTGATCAACATTCTACCGGAGATAAAGTTAAATTCTGCTATGATAAAACGCGATCCTGTTCTAAACCACATGAAAGATTATTTCTGAAACAGTATGGAGCTCAAATGCTTTTTCTCTTGCGGGTTTATCACAAGGTGAGTTCCTTTTTTTATTTCCTGCTTTTTAAACACGTGCTCTACAGTACAGGTTAGCTCTGAGTGTTAGCGAGGCTTGCTAATGTAAACAAAGACGAGATTACGTCCAAAACACGTCAGGCATTGTTTCCGATAGCAATTTTCTGTGGGTCCGCTGCCGCAACTCTGTATCCGCTCGTCGTACCCCTGTTTTTAAAAGATTTGGGTACGGAGGAAAAGAGAGAGGGTTTTATTTTCTGACGCTGCGTGAGTTCCCCGACGCACCGGGGACACATATTTATGTATAAAAGACATCACAAAGTGCATTTTGCATGATAGGTCCCCTTTAATGTATATTTTCTTGTGTCTGACGCGTTGTGAGAATGAACGTGCATATATATTTACTTGTGTGCGCAAGTTAACCGCAAGTTCACCTTGACTTTCTAATGCTTCTAATGCCATTTTTGCCGAGGTTCAAGGCATTGGCTACAGACAAACAGTGCCATTTCTCCAACTAGTTCAAGCCATCATACTGTATGTATGTATTGAATGTGTGTGTATACAGGGGCGCCGTTTACCAACAGGCAAGTGCTTGGACCAGAAGGGGGCCCCCAAATAAAGTAGATTAATCCAATCCAATCCAACTTTATTTATATAGCACTTTAAAACCTCCAGACCAAAGTGCTGTACAGAGAGATACATCAAATATAAAATCACACAGCTCAGCTCACAAAACATAAAATAAATAAATACATTTCAAATAAAAGATACAAACACAAAACAAACCAGAATAAACGTAACAATTTCCAAATAAATAAAAAAAGATAAAAAAAGATTAAGAAGGTAACAACGACAACATGAAACACCCTTTAATTTACTGCAACGACATGTCGGGAAACCCCCTCAAGGGGGCCCCATGCATAGTGCACTGAAAATGCTTCTTAATTTCAGTTTCGCCAGGGCCCAGCGGTTGAACCCTTCTAAGCTGGCTGTAGCGAGGGCGGAGTTCGCAACCATGGAGCGCCTGGGTATTGTCCGCCGCTCCGACAGTCCTTGGGCTTCCCCCCTGCACGTCGTTCCCAAATCGAACGGCGGGTTCCGCCCGTGCGGGGATTACCGCCGACTCAACGACGCCACTACGCCTGACCGCTATCCGGTGCCGCACATTCAGGACTTTTCGGCGCATCTGGCCGGTACAGGGGTGTTTTCCAAGGTGGACCTGGTGTGTGGATACCGCAGGTGCCCATGCACCCCCTGGACATTCCCAAGACAGCAGTGATAACGCCTTTTGGACTTTTTGAGTTCCTGCGGATGCCTTTTGGACTCAAGAATGCCGCTCAGACGTTCCAGCGCCTGATGGATTCGGTGCTGCGGGACCTGCCGTTTGTGTTTATTTACCTCGACGACATACTCGTCGCAAGCGCTTCAGTGCAGGAGCACCTGTCCCACCTCTGAGCCCTTTTCACACGGCTCAACGAACACGGATTAATCATCAATCCTGCAAAGTGCCAGTTCGGGGTGTCGGACATCGATTTCCTGGGGCACCGCGTCACCAAGGGCGGTGCGACACCTCTGCCAGCGAAGGTGGAGGCTGTTGCCGCGTTTCCTCGCCCGCTCACAGCCCGGTCGCTCCGTGAGTTTCTGGGGATGGTGACTTTCTACCACCGTTTCATCGCCCGGGCCGCACACATCATGCGGCCGCTGTATGAAGCGTTGAAAGGCAAGACCCCCGTCCAGGAGATCGACTGGACAGCAGAGGCGGACGGCGCTTTTGCTGAGGTCAAGACCGCGTTGGCTCAGGCGGCTTTGCTGGCACACCCATCATCTACGGCTCCCATCTCCATCACCACGGACGCGTCAGACTACGCGGTCGGCGCAGTGCACGAGCAGTGGGTGGAGGGCGCTTGGCAGCCGCTCGCCTTTTTCAGCCGCCAGCTGACGCCTAGAGAACGCAAATACAGCGCCTTTGACCAGGAGCTCCTCGGACTTTATTTGGCCGTGCGGCACTTCCGTTTCATGCTGGAAGCCCGTAAATTTACGGCGTTTGTCGACCACAAGCCGCTCACCTTCGCCATGTCAAAAGTGGCGGAGCCTTGGTCGGCACGTCAGCAGCGGCAGCTGTCCTACATATCGGAGTTCACTACGGACATTAAGCACGTGGCTGGCAAGTCGAACCTGGTTGCTGATTGCCTCTCCAGGGTCGTCATCGGTGCCGTCCAGTTGGGCCTGGACTATACTCGCATGGCGGCAGACCAGGTCACAGATCCCGGCGTCCAGGCCCTGAAGGTGGAGAGCGCGGGGCTGCGCTTGGAGGACGTGGTGTTCGGCGACGCGGGCATTACTCTCCTGTGTGACGTCTCTACGGGCCTGGCGCGGCCTGTCGTCCCTGCCAGCTGGAGGCGTCCTGTGTTCGAGGCTGTGCACGGCCTGTCACACCCCGGCGTTAAACCTTCGGTGCCTTTGGTAGCGGCGAAGTTCGTTTGGCAAGGACTGAAAAGGGACGTGAGGACTTGGGCCAGGGAGTGCGTGGCTTGTCAACGCGCTAAGGTGCACCGCCACACGAAGGCCCCGTTGGAGCGTTTCCTGGTGCCTGATAGGAGGTTTGATCATGTCAACATTGACCTGGTTGGTCCGTTGCCTTCCTCTCAGGGGTTTTCCTACCTCCTCACCATGGTGGACAGAACGACCCGTTGGCCGGAGGCGGTTCCGCTCGTTTCGACATCAGCCGCAGACGTTGCCCGGGCCTTCATTGCAACGTGGGTGTGTCGTTTTGGCACCCCGTCAGACATTTCCTCAGACAGGGGCTCTCAGTTCACGTCCGAGCTCTGGAACGCTGTGGCAGGCGGTTTGGGGGTTAAGCTGCACAGGACTACCGCTTACCACCCTCAGGCTAACGGCCTCTGCGAGCGCTTTCATCGCTCCATGAAGGCGGCCCTCAAGGCCGGCCTTACGGACGGTAACTGGGTCGACAAGCTGCCCTGGGTGATGCTGGGCCTGCGGACCGCACCTAAGGAAGATCTGCAGTGTTCTACAGCGGAGATGGTCTACTGTCAGCCGCTGAGAGTTCCGGGGGATTTCCTCCCAAATGCATCGGCTCCCTGGTCGGCGTCGGCCCAGCGGGCTTTCCTGCGTGACGCCGCTGAGGCCTTTGCTCCGATCCCTACTACTCAGCACGGTACTCAGGTGTCCCAGGTTCCCGCAGAGCTCCGCTCGGCGGAGCACGTGTTCATCCGGCACGATGCGCACAGAGGCCCCCTGCAGCCCCCTTATGATGGGCCTTTCCGGGTCTTGGAGCACGGGGACAAGCACCTGGTGGTCGACCTGGGTGGCAAGGCCGAGCACGTCTCGGTGGACCGGGTGAAGGCTGCTCACCTGGACTTGGACCAGCCTGTGGTGCTGGCTCGACCTCCGTGACGGGGCCGCCCCCCGGCCTCGTCCCCTGTCACGGATTTAAGACCGGTTGTTCCGGTCCCTCCCCTTCCGGGGGCCGCACAGGCGGGAGTCACTTTTCCGACTCCCGTGCTCAGGAGTCGTGGGGGTCGGCGTGTCGTTCCTCCCCGCCATGCTGATTTTGTTTATGTGTGAATTCTGGGGGGGCTTGTGTGGTGACACGTTATTGGACATAATTCACCTTGCTTATTGTGTTGCCACACTGACCCTTTAGTGGGGAACACCTGTAGCTTTAGCTGCCATTCCTGCTAGCTCATCAGGCAGAGCAGTGCATGTGTTAACCTCTCTGAAAGTAATGGATAATAAAGATTGGAACTCCATTCTTAATACACCGCCTCCGACTCTCTTTTCACGGCACTACAATATACTAAATAGTTGCATTTGTTTTTTAGCACCTGCTGATAAGGGCATACGTTCTTACGTTGGTAATGATTGTATAAAAGCAAGGGTGTGCAATAAACAGATAGGCCTACCATCAGTTGGAGAGTCTCATTCAGCCGCGGGGACGCTACAATTATTATAGTGAATGTTTAAATGATATCAATAAAGATTAAGCCCCATGGCTACTTAGCATGCACAATGACGACATTCTGCATGTTAAGTAGCCATGTGCTTTCGTGTTATCAGCTGAATCTTTATGTATTGATTTGATCACAACATTACTGATGATAGTATTCAAGACAGCCTATATGTCTGAACTCGATCCTTAGAGTAATGTGTTACGGAGCCTTCTCTTCAATATTTTTTCCACATAACGAGCATTTTGCGCTGCTCTTTCCCAATGTGAAAGCATAATCTATGAAGCATACAGCACGATGCGGGGTGTGTCTCTGGACATCTCTAGACTGGAATAGCGGGGGCCAGTACGTGAACTCGCCTCGCAGGTGCACACGCCAGGACAGAGTACATCTGACTCGAGACAAAACTTGCTCGAATCCGAGTCCAAGTCGGAGCGTCAATGTACAAGTCGAGTCCGAGTCATCGTGCGTGCGTGATCGAGTCCGCGTCAATCAGTGCGCGAGTCCGAGTCGAGTCTCAAGTCCCGAAAATCGGCACTCGAAAATCGGCACTCAAGTCCAGGACTCGAGTACTCCATCTCTGGACTAGCATCCCATAAACCCCTCTGTTTCAGCCCCGTCTCAAAAGTGGTGATTCTCTGTCTGTTACTTCAGATGAAAATAAGGAGCCACTCCCCACGCCCCTCTGAGAGATATTTGGTTGAAAAGAACACAATGGTGCTCTAGGAGGAGATTCAGGTGATAAGGTGTGTGTGTGTGTGGGGGGGGGGGGGGGCTAGTGGTTACACAAGCCAAAAAAACGTTATGACATCATAATATGGCCGGAATCTGATCAGCTCATTTTCAGACAGGTTTTTATATAAATGGATCAGGACAAAAAGTGAGCAAATCTTTTTTCCAGAAACTTTCAGAATCTCTTTACACAGAGGGGACACTTGTATAAAAGACATTAAAAAGTGGATTTTGCAGAATAGGAGACCTTTAAGGTGTGCATGTTCTTACCAGTCTGTATTTCTGTAGTGTGTTGGCCTCTCTGGTCAGCCACGCCTCCACAGTGGCTCTCTTGTTCAGGAGGGCGGGCTCCCGTAGCTGTCTGTCAGCAGGGGGCAGCGTGGCCAGGCTGGTAAGCTGAGCTGGGGAGGGGTGGGGTTGTTGCCATCCACAAGGGGGAGGGGTGAGGGAAAGGGAGTTGAGATACAAATCTTTAACCTACGCACGTTCAGTGTACATACATGCCACATTAAGTGATAATGACTTAATAAGGATATCTACCTCTAGGATCATGCAGATGTCATAACAACTAGGCGTTGATACACACCTATGCAAATGTTGCTGATTATAGGTATAAGTGTTTGTTTTCCATTGCTGATTTGCAGGATTCAATATATTACAGACAGCTGTGATATGTATGTTGGGTGAGGAATGATCTATTTTATTCAAATTTGATTTTCTAATATGACATGTACAAGATTCAAAGCCTTGTTAAAAAAAGCACAAACTACTCAGTACTCTTAATTTGTTTTACAATTTGTATTAAATAATAACCACTGACTTTTCAAGTGAGACAAATTGAGAAATGGTTTGTCCATCTTAAATTCTAAATGTATCTAGAAGCATTCAATCCTGTTTGGCATAATGATATGATGGATAACTGTCGAATAACCGATTATCGAACTGTTGACAATTTTTCTGTCACTTCACAGTCAAAATATCAGCTCTTCCTCCCAGCAGCAGTAATGAGATGCAGGTCCTGGGGCCTCACCCTGGATGCGGAGGCTCTCCTGATACTGGATGATGAAGTACTCCTGGTTGTGCTGGAGCTTGCGCAGATCGTTCTCAGTGTCCTGGGTCAGCAGTCGAAGCTCCTCAAAAGCTTGGTTGATCTGTTGGTATTTCTGAGACATGCTGTCCATCATCCCGCCCACTGGAGAGCTCGACTGTCAATAACAAAGTGCGATTTAGAGACAGGCACGGAGAGACACGGAGGAAATGGCGGGTTTGGCAACAGTAATTGGTAAGGTTGCATGGCCTGTGTATTGTCTGTCAGTGGATTGTTTATGATGGTTGTTATGGGAAATGGCTGGCCTGAGCTATTGGGGATAGCTATGGGGGATGGAGCATGCATTTGAAACCTAGCTGGACTTGATGAATTGACCACTACGTGCGTCAGTTGGGCTATTTGACTGTGAAATCCCCAGTGACCACAAGCCTAATGGGAACACTGTAGATAGAGAAGGAAGTATTGCATCTGCTTATCATCCTCAGGCAGACTGCATGGGCAGTTAAGGCTCTGAACAAGCACAATATAGTGCCTTAAGGTTCAGGCTAAATACAGATAGGCCTACATTGAATCAGTCAAAATATGCATTCCACTAATAGAAAAGGCCTGTTGTGAATGGAAATCAATTCACCGCAGGAGTTAGTTAAAGTCACATGTTTTATGCTCTGATGGCTCTAAGGTTTTATAACTCTGTGCCTTTTATAAACCGTGAAATGGTTTCTTACCCTCTGTATTACAGTTATGCAGTGAAGCTATACTAAAGGTTTACTTAAAAACCATAAAACAGCATGATTGAATAAGTATGAGTCTCCCTAGGTATCTGATTTTAAATAATCCAAAGGAATCTGCAGAGCTGGGGGGATAAATGGAGGAAACACAATTACCCAGCCTCTGAATCAGTCACCATTATGTAGCTCAGCTTCTGTTTGTGCTTGCAGGCTTTGTAAGGGCTATGAAATGAATAATGCATGGAGAAGCCACAGGTGTTTGTCTAAGCAAGGATACATTTCAGTGTGGGTGTCTGGTGTTGACAAATGAGCCGAAGCGTGCACACGGGTGTCAGTTTATATATTTTTTACAGCACACACATGCATCCTACTCACATTGGTGGCCTCTCTGACGAGCCTCTGCTCTGTGTAGAGGATGTGTTTGATGCATCGGACCAACTCCAGAGGACAGCGGTCATACGTGCTCTGAAAGACAAGGAGAACATTTAGGACCTATTAGCCTCTGACGAGCGGAGCGGCCGGCGCACACAGAACTCGCCAATTTAGTGGCATCAAGGAAGCTCGCTAAGTTCTGGAGCCAACACGGCAAACACTAAGAGCCATTAAAAGAGCCTAATGAGACCCATCTCTGAGGCAAGGCGCACTTCATATACCATTCATTAGCATGAACACACATTGTCACGCACACTCCAGAGTCGAGTGGTTTATGTGTTACAGTAATATGTTATCCTCTGATGAGAAGGGAATCAATTCACAGTTTCACTTTCAGTTTAAAAGATTCTGGCGAAAGGCAGTTTGCGATATTTTTGTTGTTTCCTGTTTTAAGTCAAAGAGTGATTTAACAGCTGAGTTGCTTTAATTGTGAGTATAACTCAACACAAACCAACCTTAGATGATAAAAACAGCACAGGGCATCAGCAGTTTTGGTTTCCTTGAGTTATTTCCACAAAGGACACTTTTTATATTTTATACTCAACCACATCAGTACTGCATATGCTCACAGTCCCAGAAGGGAAAACTGAGTGGTAGGAATTTGGGATTGCAGTTTGATGTTACACTGCCAACCCCCTTCACCCTGTTCCTCTGGCCACGGAGGGGAGAAGACAAACAGAAGAACGGATCTGGGAGCAGGATCATAAATAGCAGCGCTGGCTGGCTACCAAGGCCCTCACTGGGTTGTCTTCTTGTTTTCCTCATGGAGGATACAACCTGTTCTGAAAGCATATTGTCCACTGCGTGCTATTTCTAAGAACTACTAGCAAACAGTTGTATCTTTCAACCCCTTGCTTAAAATGTTCCCACACTATTTAAAAGGTATTTTGTGAAAACATTATCTCATTTAAATAATCATGCACAGATGTTTTCGGCTTATTTTATTGTATGAACACTGAACAGTACTTCATGATCCAGTGTTTTTTGTTCTTTTTACTTTTTAGCCATTAGAAAAAGTATCAAATTAAACTCTAAGCTAAATTAAATCAAGGTATTTTACTTATAAATAACTGAAAGCAGTTGATATACAATCTTCCTTTGTTCTTTGTGTGTTCTCAAACCCTGGCCGTACTGAACCACATGCACTCTCTCTCTCTGCAAACCAGCCACAAAGTGTATATTTAGCTAGTGAGACACTGTATATTTCTGGGCATAAAGTGCTGTTCTCATGATTGGTTAGGTATATTTCCAAAAGACTTACCTTGAGCTGGCTGGCGTAGTGTCCCAGTTTGATTTTGAGTAGAAAGCCGTCCTCTCCCACCTGGTGCTCGGCCTTGTTCTGTAGTTCCTGAATCAGACTGTCCAACAGGCGCTTGGCCTTGAACTCTTCCTGTGGGTTCTCCAGGTCTATTGCATCCCTAACAACACACACACACATAAATAAATGCACGTGGCTATTAAATGAAATCTAAGATGTTGAAAATAGCAAACAATGAGCCAATTGTGAAAATATGCTCACACGGACGGACACACACACACACACACACACACACACACACACACACACACACACACACACACACACACACACACACACACACACACACACACACACACACACACACACACACACACACACACACACACACACACACACACACACACACACACACACACACACACACACACACACACACACACACACACACACACACACACACACACACACACACACACACACACACACACACACACACACACACACACACACACACACACACACACACACACACACACACACACTAAATTAGGTTTTTATGCTGCAGAACAACTCACCAGAGCTGGCTCTCTATCCACTGGGACAGATAATGTCGCACCTCGATGGGGAAGTGCTGACCGTACAGAGACTGCATCTGGTGCAGAGAATCTCCCTGGAGCTGCTGGGCCTGGATCCACACTGCCATCTTCAACACCCTGAGGTTGACAAATAGATTGCTATCAATAAGAGAGCGAGAAACACAGTTAAAGAAAAGAGCAAGGTGATGCGAGAAAAGATCATTTAAAGAGTCCCAATTATGCATCTTTAGGTTTTCCTTTTCTTTGTTATACAGGGTTTTGTGCATGTAAATGGACTGCAAGGACTAAAATCCCAAAGTTCTAACACACTGTACATGATAGGTTAAGGGGCAGGAAATCTCTAAGCGGTTGATCAATCACAACAGAGCCGGCCAGCTAACCAATCAGAGCAGACTGTGCTCTGGTTTCAGACAGAGGGTGAAAGAGGTGCTGCAGGACAGGCAGTGAAAAATAAAGAGGTTTTTGAACATTAAAGCATGGAAATAAACAGTAGTGTGTTACAATAGAGCAGGGATCACCAACTGGGTCAATCTACAGAAAAGGTGGAATCTGGGTGATACAAATCTGCTGAAATATATTCCTTCTAAAAACATCTAAAACCTGTTAAATAGCAATAACTAACTCTTAACTTGATGAATCCACAACAAGTAGAGCTTAAAATATTTTTACTTTTTTTATTATTTTTATACTTTATACAAAGCTTATTTGTATAGAAATGTCACTGGTGTTATGTGTTACCAGGAAGAAGAGTAACACCAGTGACGGTAACACCAGTGACAATTTGGAGAAAACACTACCATTTTAACAAAATGGCTGCAATGTGTCAGACCAAATATGGCTTCAGTCAATATCAAAATCGTTTAACTCTTCAATACAATACATTTTCCCATTCAAATGTTCACCCCTAGGGCTATGCAATGAGTATCACTAATGACAGACTTGAAAGACGCACGTAAAATTTGAAGATAAAATGACACCTTTAACAAACAAAGTAAGAAGTATCTGACTTTCCTTATGTCTTTGTCCACTGCACTTACAGGAGGCACTTCAGAGACAGTACATTATTTAAAAAATAAAAGCGTTTTGTGTAGCAGTAACACCAATGACGTAATTTTGGGTGACTGACATTTATTTGATATTAATAATAATTTGCGTTTTTTTTTACCATTTCAGTGCTTGTAATGTTATATAAATAAGATGTATTTATTGAAATGTATTTAAATTAAAACTATAGGCTCCACTGCCATGTATAATCAAAGTGACAAGGCAGTTCCTTGAACTTGGCATTTTAAATAAATTGCAATTTACGTATAAAACCATTTTTTATTTATTTTTTATTTAGTACCATTGCAAAGACAATCTCTATTTATTCAACATATATAATGAATGTGAGTATTAGGTCAACGTCATGTATTTTGGTGTCTGCAAAAGTAAGTGACAGCACTTCCACCGTTTCTGTAGAATGACCCAACTACATTTGTCCAAGGGCCAAAATGTATCCAATAGACACTTTTGCGGGCCAGCGATTTTTATAGCCCAGCATTTTGAAGTTGCGGAGCGCATAAAGCAGACTCTTAGTTAATAAATGTAGTCTTTGATATGGTTTAGCCTTTCTCAGGCTACAAATATTATTAAGGAATACAAATCCCTCTTTGCAATGTTTACCAGCCTCCTTAGGCTTTTCAATCACAATCATTAAACTGGAATAAATACAATATTGTTAACATGAAAACATGGATTTTATGTCCGTTGTTTAGAGTTATTCTAAGGCTTTACTCATTGGGTACTCGGTATGAGATACAGCACACTATTCAGATGTCAAATCTGCCTGTTTTACACACTTTGACCAACAGGGGGGTTTGTGTTCAGATGAAGCCCATGATGATGCCTCATGAGATGAAGTCTTTTGCGAACAAATTGGCTGGAAAGCTTTAAAGCTTCATCTCGCTATCACCAGGGCTGCAGTCGAATAGTCCATTTAGCTTAGGAACCTTCCTAACGGAGTGAAATGACCCGGAAGTCCCTCAGTGGCAGCCATGATAAGTGCCGTTCGAATTCTCTAGAATGATAGGAAAGGAGGTTTCAAACTTCCTTTATAACCTCCTTTAGCTTGGGAACCACTGGACCTCCCTAACCGAAAGGAGAGGAGAAAATGCTGCCCCACAATGCCTTGCAGCCGCAGCATTTGACGTCACACAACAGTCGGCCGTTCACGGACGACACAAACGATTATGATGGAGAAATTATTTCATGAAAGTTACGGTGCTTATTAAGCATTTTAAAACGTATGTGGTAAGTTGCCAAAGTGCTTTGTTTTGAACGTTCATCAGTATTATAATCAAAAAGAGAAATATGAACGTTAGTTTTTACTGAAATGATCAAATAAAGTCAACATTTCACAGTCTTTACTGAGCTGTGTGGGGTTTATTCAACTTTTAAAAGATGTTTGAATGGTGATATACACAGTGATAGGTGTTAAAGACTAACGTTTATAATAAATATATTTGTATTGATTTTAAGATATTTTCATAGTTCATAATCATACGTACGGTGGCCCTGAAGTGCAAGACACAACAGCATTTCACAAAACGCTACAGCATTTCAGAAAACACTACAGCATTTCACAAAACGCCGCAGCATTTCACAAAACGCCACATTATTTCTGAAAACACAACAGCATTTCACAAAACGCCGCAGCATTTCACAAAACGCCACAGCATTTCAGAACACGCCACAGCATTTCAGAAAACACCACAGCATTTCACATTGGACGGAAAGAGTATTCCTTAGGGAGAACACTTCTTGTTTGTGATTGGACAGAGCCAGCCATAGAAGCACTGCTGTGATTGGTTGTTTTTGCTGCCAGTCAAGAAATGACGCTTCGTGATTGGCCCAACACATCAGCCGTTAGCTGTTAGCACACACTCAGAGCTCACAGCTCCTCATATCTGTTCAGAAACTGGACATATACAAGTTAAACATATACAAAACACAGACTGTCTATGTCATGGCAAATACAGTCGCTGCTTTATTTATGTCTGTATAACGTTGTTGTGAGTGTGGACGGAGCAGCTACAGGTTAGTTTAACCTGATCGATCCGATTCCGATAGGATTTACATGGAGATAGGGCATGACAGGAGTAAACACAGAATTAATGCTTTATTAATTCCTGGTTTTTAAGGGGCTTATCTCCATGTAAATACTATGGTAGACCACCCAATATTCGCATCGCTCTAATCGCTCGAGTTTCACCACGGCAGTCAGCTGTGTTTGCTCCTGTCATTCAAACAAGTGGCGCTGGAGAGGGGGCGGGGCGTATCTCCATGTAAATCCTATGGGAGATACCAACTACAACAAAATGAACATATTTGACCGTGATTTAATTGTAATACACGTTTCAAAGTGATGCCGAAGTAACTACATACTGATAACGGTTAGTAAAAACCATGAATTAACGCTTTGACAAGTCTGCAGATAAGACGGCAGGTGAAAAGCTTTTAAAATGCGTGTTTTCTGAATGGAATCGGACCCATCAGGCTAAACTAACCTGTTGCTGCTCCGTCCACACTCACAACAACGTCATACAGACATAAATAAAGCAGCGACTGTATTCGCCATGACATAGACAGTCTGTGGTTTGTACATGTTTAACTTTTGTCCACGTTTCTGAACAGATATGAGGAGCTGTGAGCTCTGAGTGTGTGCTAACGGCTGATGTGTTGGGGCATATTTCGCTGTCGGGTGTTGACCAATCACGAAGCGTCATTTATTGACTGGCAGAAAAAACAACCAATCACAGCAGTGATTCTCTGGCTGGCTCTGTCCAATCACAAACAAGAAGTGTTCTCCCTAAAGGAATACCCTTTCCGTCCAATGTGAAATGCTGTGGTGTTTTCTGAAATGCTGTAGTGTCTTGCACTTCAGGGCCACCGTACATAGGCTACGTATTGGAATCATTTGTATTAATGTGGACCGGAGGGAGAGGGTGATGAGCATAAGTTTCACTTTTTTATTTAAATTCCAACTTTGGTCATGAAGAATATGTTTCTCTGTTGTTCATAAAGCATAAAGCAACAGCATCAGAGCACGGTGCAGTCTCTAGATGAGTCCGTCGTTCTTATTAAACATCCATGTTGTAGTCCGCTGTATAGAAAACTGTAGTTTCCATAGTTTCTCCACAGCAGCAGCAGACGCACAAAATGACGTCCGCTGGCGCATCATAAACACGTCAGATAGTGAAAGTGCAGTCGGATTCTCTAAAGCACCGCAGTCTCTTCTCCTAAATTCTTTTGAATTCTCCTATCCACTATCCCTTAACCCTGTGACGTTTCACTCAGAGGTCAAGGAATAGGAGATAGGGTTAGAACTTAGGAGCTGATTTTTAAACTATCCAAATGCAACCCGGCCCTTTAGCAGAGTGAGAGCATGTAAGGAGGGATGCTAGTACTTACGTGTGTACGTACAAACGACTAACAAAGTCAGGCTTTCAAGAAAGAAAATAAAGGAGAGAAAGACAAAAGAGAGGGACTAAAGGGCGACAGTTTGTCACCCAGTTTTTCAAAAGAAAAGGTGGGTGTGGTCCATGAGTGGTGGAAATTAGTCTGTTAGCTAAGCGTAGTCCATTGTAAATAATAATTGTAATGTTTTGCTGACATTAAAGGTGGGGTAGGTAAGTTTGAGAAACCGGCTCGAGATACACTTTTTGTTATATTGCATGGAATGCTCTTAACATCCCGATAGCAATGAATATCTTAAGTGCTTTGACAAAAAATCCATAAAAAAATTCATCTGTGCTCAAACTTATCTTTAGCCGGCTAAAATAACTGGATGGCCTACCTGCCTGTCAGCCTTCCATCTGTGCTCAAACTTATCTCGTGCCCGCATTGGTCATGTGCGCGTTCGTGTGTGTTGGAGGAGGGGCTCGGTAAGGAAGTGGCAGATTTTTTCCGGTTGTGTATTTTCAAATTCTAGCACAGTCGAGCTGGTTTCTCCAAAATTACCTACCCCACCTCTAAGTACTGTAAATATCTTCACAGAACATTCAGAGGTTTTTAATTTCACTCCTCTTTTAGCTGACATTTAATAAATGCAGGTACATTTTTAGCAGCTATTCATA